CTTGCTTAAGATTGTTTTGGCTATACAGGGTCTTCTGTGATTCCATCTAAATCTTAGGATTTTTTTTTTCTATTTCTGTAATAAATACCATTAAGATATTGATAGGGATTGCATTGAGTCTTTAGATCACTTTGGGCAAGTAAGCATTGTAACAATGTTAATTATTCCAGTTGATGACATTGGAATGTCTTTTCATTTACCTGAGTCTTCTTTAATTTTCTTCATCAGAATGTTATAATTTCCAGTGTAAAAATGTTTCACTTCTTTAGTTAAGTTTATTCCTATTTTATTCTTTTTAATGCTATTGTAAATGGAATTGTTTTCTTAATTTCCTTTCCAGATTTTTCATTGTGTATAGAATACCATTGATATTTGTATGTTGATTTTGTAGCCTGCAAATGTACTGATTTCAAACATTCAAAGAATAACAATTGTCTTAAATTCTCGCAAAAAAACAGAAGAGAGGGAATGCTTCTAAACTCATTTTATGAGGCCATCACCCTAATACCAAGGCCAGACAAACCTACCACGAAAAAAGAAAAATATAGGCCAATATCCCTGATGAAAATACATGCAAAAATCCTAAGTAAATGCTAGCAAACCAAATTCAAGAGCACATTAAAGGGATTATACGCCATGACCAAGTGGGGTTTATCTCTGGGATGAAAGGAAATTCAACGTATGAAAGTTAATCAATGTGACCCATTACATTAGCAAAATGAAGCTTAAAAACCATACACAATTTTCTCAATAGATGAAGAAAAAGTATTTGAGAAAATTCAGCATCAATTCATGATAAAGCCCCTCAGAGAAACAGATATAGCAATAATTTACTTCAACACAATAAAAGCCATATATTAAAAGCCCACAGCTAACATAATAATCAATGGGAAAAAAACTTAAAACTTTTCCTTTAAGATCAGGAAAAAGGCAAGAATGCCCACTTTTGCCACATCTATTCAACATAGTACTGGACGTCTAGTCAGAGACTAGAGAAGAAAAATGTAATCAAAGCATACACATCAGAAAAGAAGAAGTAAAAATATTTTTAATTGCAGATGGTTTAGCCGTATGTGTAGAAAACCCTGAAGACTCAGCCAAAAAACTATCAGAACTGATTTCAGCACTTTCTCCCTGTGGCTCTAGCTCTGACTCTCATTGTTCAGATTTAAGTCAATTTCCCTCTCAAATCTGATCATCACTTTCCATAGCCACAATCAGACATTCATGAAGTCTTATTTAATGAGAAAAAAAATTGGTGACACAGACCTTGGGAAATTATCTTTATTTCCACTGTAGTTTGTAAAATCCTAAAATTTAACAGCTAGATTTTCACATTTATTACCTGACCTCTATTTTAAGGTTGTCGTCATCACCTCTCTTCTTAATTTTGTCATTCTCCCTACCAAAGCGAATGACTTTAAGGAGAAAGAAAATGAGGACCAACATTTATACCGTGTAAACATAAAAGAAAAAAGGCATAACTCTGTTAAAATGACATGTTCATATTTTTATTCATCCTCCTAGTTACTTTCTAAAAACTTGAATTAAAAAATAGATTTAAAAATTTAATTTTTTGTGGGGAGTTCTTATAGGTTCTGAGAGTACTCCCAGTTTAGTGAAACTGAGTCAATTTAATATTGGGAAGATAAAACTTATTATATTTTTAAAAGATAAAGCTAAAAAAGGAAATTCAATGTCAAATGTGTACCTTCTCTTAAATGTAATGATGTTCTTTTGCATCATTTGATATCAAGTTATAAGTTACAATTTAAAAATATTAAAATGCAGGTGAATAGAGATTTTTAACTTGTTTTTTAGTGTTAAGTGACACTTTTATTAACTTGGAGTGTCCAAAATACTTTCATCTTGAGATCCCTTCAAATTATTTCATTTCCCCATTTAATAAATATTTATGAAGAGCCTATTGCGAGCCAGGCACTATTTTAGCCACTGGATTTCAGTTGGTGAACAAAATCAATAAAGCTCCTACCCTCATGAAACTTATTTCTGGTGGAAGAGACAAAACACAACCAGAAAAGCAAAGCATTTTTACATACCCTGAATGCTTATGTTCCCCCAAAATTAGTATGTTGAAATCCTCCACGCCAAGGTGATGGTAGGAGGAGGTAGGACCTTTGGAAGTGATTAGTTATCCAGCCCTCATGAATAGGATTAGTGTCCTTATAAAAGAGGCTGAAAGTGACCCTTCACTCCTTGTACAGTGTGGGGTTACAGCGAGAAGATGACTGTCAACGAGACAGTGAGCCCTCAACAGACACCGACCTGCCAACCCCTTGATCTTAAACTTCCCAGCCTCTAGAATTGTGAGAAATAAACTTCTGTTGTTTTAAAGCCACCCAGTTTAGGATATTTTGTTACAGCAGCTGGAACAGACTAAGACACATATATAGCATCATGTCAGAGAGTGATAAACAACCTAGGGTCAGGAGACAGAGCATGGTTCAAGTGGGAACGCTTTAGACAGGTGGTTAGAGAGTGCCTGTTGAAGAGGTGACTTCTGACCAGAGACCTGAATGAGGAGAGTGAGGAAGTCCTGTGAATATCTGAGGCAAGAACAAACTTCTCAATGTATTTTATGACCACTGAAGAACCCAGACCTAAAGAGCCAGGTTGTGAAATAATGAGCAGTAGAAAAGCAAACCTAACAGTTTTGTGAAGATAAAAATCAATTTCCTGTTATGGCATGACAAGTCATGGGACTCAAAAATCACATAGACACCAACATTCACTTAGATGGATCTGTGCCAGGGAAAGGTACGAATCCTTACCAAGCAAACTACGTACATGGACAAGAGCCAGTGCTACCCACAGGCAAGTTATTCCTAGGTCATAAACTGATTTAAGAAACACATTTTCTTTAGAGTTTTGACTGGGTTCTGGCCATCTGCAAAAATGAAAACCTATTGGGAGAAAATCTACATAGTTAAACATAGAACAATGAAAGGAAGTGTCAGCCTGTATCCCAGCCCTGAAATGGAATGAGCTCTGTTTCTGCACAGAAGGCAGTTGAGACAATGTCAGTTACCCCATTCCACTCATTTTGGTTTATTTTAAGGAAAATGCAATCTATACAGTGTTTGGGAAATTATATACACCTTTGAAATTAGGATTTATTGCAATCAGGTAGCCTTTAATAATGCAAAATGTGTATTTAAAAATACATTTAGTAATTAAGAATCATACTCGATGCTTTTAGAACAGTAAAGTGGTTAGTAGTTCAATATACTTTCATCCAGATTACATTTCTTTCAGAAATAACATGTTCTTTTAATTTTCTATTTTTATGAACTTTGTTAACAATATTGAAAGGTAAAGACAACTGTTGAAATGTAAGCCCTTTTTGTCTGTTAAGTAATAGTAGGAGTTTTTATTTACTGGATTATTTGAAAATAAACTTTAGCAAGAATATTACAGAGGTGAATATATTTGCTCAGTGAATTCTCTAAATTTTCTATGATGTTTTATAATTATCTTAGATGATTTATATTTTAATTTCTAATACATTTATACTTAAATTCACAAAAAAATGAGACTGATCAGAAACAACCTCATTTTGGAAGAAGCAGGACTGCAAAAATTATTACAACTGTCTTTTTTTTGTTGTTTTCTTAGAACTACGTGGGAATATATTACAGACTTCACAAAGAGGAATACTACTTTGCACTAAGTCATATTCTAACGACTATTAAGTTAGAATATGATTAGTGCAAGATATATACAAGAGTTCAGGCTAGAGATACTCAAAGATTGATGAAGCCAGATCGTGGAATGCAGTTTAGCGCAGTTATTAGGTGCAATTTGACACTGTTATTCACAATTTCCAGTGGCTCACAGTCCTCAGAGGATCCAGTCTAAACAAGCAAAGCTTGCGGAAAGACTCTTGAAATTTAAACTAACCTGTGTCTCTCAAAATGTTTCATGTAACTCTTTCCTATATCAGCTCTCAAACTTCTCTATGAAAAACAAATTCCTGAGACCATTGTACCCTTTGCCATAGCAGTTCACATTCTACACCCCTTGCTATAGCACTTAACAAACTTTGTAATGAAAAATTTTGCATTTATGGTTTCCCTCCTTGATTTTAAATATATTTCTTCAATGTAGAAACTGTTTTTTCATACTAAATACTAAGTAAAGAGTAACACAAATTGTATATAAATTACACTTAGATATTTAGGAAATGAATTAAAGAAATAACTTTCAAAATTTGTATACCAAATAGAGAAACAGACATGTCAAGAATTTGGTGGCCTGGCGCAGTGGCGCATGCCTGCAATCCCAGCACTTTGGGAGCCCAAGGCAGGTGGATCACTTGAGGTCATGCCTAGTTCGTGACCAGCCTGGCCAACATGGTGAAACTCCATCTCTAGTAAAAATTAAAAAAAATTAGCGGGTTGTGGTGGTGGACGCCTGTAATCCCAGCCGCTCCGGAGGCTGAGGCAGGAGAATCACTTGAACCCGGGAGGCGGAGGTTACAGTGAGCCGAGATCATGCCACTGTACTCCATCCAGCCTGGGCGACAGTGGCGAGACTAAGTCTCAAAAACAACAACAACAACAACAACAACAACAACAAAGAATTTAGTAAGTATCTGAGTTTTGAGTAGTTCTTCCCCCAAATTTACTATATAAATCTAGCTTTCACGCATTGGAACGTGGTCTATTTCTCAATTCTGTATACATTTAATTCAAGGTGCTGTAGCTGAGAGTTTGGAGTCTTCCTTTCTATGTCAGTATGGGATGAGAAAACACACACACGCACACACACACACACACACACACACACACACACACACACCCCTGTTATCCTAAAAGCAGTTTTGGAGGTGGCTGAGAGGAGAGAACTTAGGAACTTAGCTGAGGAAATGATGAAAAGGACATTGTTTTGTGTCTCAGGAACCATGTGGAATTCCAAGATAAGAAAAACAGTTGCTAATTTGAGTATAAAAGCAGGAAACATGATACACTTATTTCCTTTTATGCCAACACAAGTATATGAGGGGTTGTGTAAAAATTATTTTTCTCTTGCTGTACTACAAAGACATAGAATCGAACTGCTTTTTTTCGACATACTGATTTTTCTTTCTCTTTTTCTTCTCTTTCTTCTATTTCTTGTGGATATTATGGCTAATAACACAACAAGTTTAGGGAGTCCATGGCCAGGAAACTTTTGGGGTAAGGTATTTCTTTTACTGTTTAAAATTTAAAATTAGGATGTGAGAAATGCACCGCGTGATTTATTAAAACATTGAACATCTCTGAGACATTTTGTTTACTATAAAGTGATTATTTAAAGTTTTCATATGTTTATTAACAGAAATTTATTTCATACGTTTATTGGCAGAAATATATTTATATATAGAAATATATAAAAATATATTTATATATAGAAATGTATTTCTCTATAGAAATATATAGAAATGTATTTATATGTCTTTATAGTGTTCTATGAAGATATTCAAGAAGAATCTAGGTGTTAAGTACAGATTTTGGCTGGTGTTACAAAATAAAATTAGGAAATAATGAGGATAAAAATAAAAAACATAAGGTGGAGGTAATTCCTGCTTAGAATATGGCATATAGATTGTGTGGGAAAAATTAACTTTCATTTGTTTGAAGGTTGTAGATTATATATTTTATTTTATGAAATCAAGATTTCACGTAGAGACTATTTTCACCTATGTTGTGAATGTTATATGTTTTAATTTCCAAAGTGAATCCTAATTACATCTGTATTTAAATGAGTGAATTTAAAGTGCGATAACACAGGTAAAATAAATGAATGACTTTAGAGTATAACAAATAAAATATGGAAAAATATGAAATTTGAGAAAACTTTAGTAGAAAAGATTAAGTGGAAATAACATCACGTGTAACATTCAGTGGAAGCCTATTACGGGGGTGGGGGAAAAGAACAATACAGAAGTATTTTTTGGAGTATTTTTGTCTGAGTCCAGCCACAGCTAACAGTCCAGTGTTCCCTGATGTTGACAGTGGGACTGTACTGAGGTCAAAACTCAGTTGCTCCAGGCTTAGAGGTACAAAGAAGAAGGGCTCACATGGGAAGTTGACTGTACTCTTGGGTTCAGGGATATTTTTATATTAAAGGAGGCAATTTAAATTAAATTCAGAAAAACACCTTAATGAAGAAAATAGTATATATGAACAGATCTGTTTATATGCCCAGAACAAGTTTTTAATCCTCTCAGTGAACGACACAGACTTTCTGCTGTGATTCAAGGCGGGGTTTTGGGAACTTTCACATAGACAGTGGGCAGTAGTGGCGACTTTTCCCAGCAATCTGTATGTCTACCATGACAGAAATCTGCATGAAAAGAATTCACTCCAGTCCTTTAACCTATGTACTTTCTTAGATGAAAAATGTGGGGACAAATATTTATTGGTTTTAAAAGATACTAAAAATTCAGCATAAGAAAAAAAAAGAACTAACTCATTCTTTTTTTCTCACCTACATTTATGTTTGCTGGAAGCCTGAAAACGAAGGATATTGGTGAGCTCCTAATAAATTTATGTAACAAAATTAAGAAGAAAATAGATTATTCTAGTACCTTGTAAAGAAAGGCTTTGGTAATAGGTTATTTTAGGTAGCTAGCACTAGACAGAAGTCTTTGAATTGTGGATGTCTGATTATATGCTTGTTAAAATATTATTTGCTGTCCTCACTTCTAGAGAAGATAAGTGCTAAATACACACTGAAAAAGACCTATAGTCTGTCTAAATCAAATTCATCATTATAAAAATGTTATCTGTATAAATTATTCAAAAGTAAAGTAGCATTTTTTGGCAAAAATTAATATGTAGAAGTCAATCTATTTTTTTCAAGCCATTCAAAATTAAATTTCAGGTTTATTTAAAACAACAAATCATTATTCACTGACTAAAACATGGTTAATAATCATTAAAATAAACTGGATATTAATAAGAGAATGTTTAGTTGGAGTCCACCTATTGATTCTAAAAATTTAGATATTTTTAATATAGAAATCTGTGTTTAAGAGGGAATTAAAACCTATTATTTCAAAGACAAATACTAGTTTTTCCTTTCTCTTGTTATGTGACTGTAATGAAAATAATGAAAACCAGAAAGGGGAGTGTTACATTGATAAACATTAGCAAAGCGAATGGAAATACGGAGAGCAGATATAATGTTTGATGATTTTAGGAAAATATATAAAAGATTGTACTATTGTTTCTGGGGTAAAAATATAAAGTATAAAATGTGAACAAAAGTATAAACACATAAAATATGTACATTTCCTGAAATAGAAACGTCAATCTTTTAAATTTCCATTGCTTTTTTGTATCCAAACTGATGTCTATTTTGACCACTGACTCCTCAAAAATATTATTTTGAGAATCTTGTACAATGCAGTGAAATGCATTGCTATTGCTTCCCAAATCAGTCATCTGCTTGGGACATTGAATTTGGAAAATAAAGAAAAATAGCTTAGAAAAGGAAAACTTGTACATTGACCATATAAATCGCTCAGACGTAGCACTTTAAGCTACATAAAAAGTTGTTTTCTCGATAGGACTTTTCTGGTTTACTTTAATGAGCGCTAAATGATGGGATAGTAATATCGGGTTATTACCAAAAACAATAGCTTGCATTTTCATAGCTATCACCCACTAAAACTTCCTAAAGCTGTGCAAGCATTTAAGTGCAAGGGTTGGCAACAAAGTTGGCCTGAAAGTGACAACACAGATGCAGACTATCACCTTCCACTCTCTATTTTTGCTTTCTTTAATGCACTTCCTTTCTCTATAAACTTTCCCATAAAAGCTGCAGGAAACATGGCCCGTTAAAATTTGCCGTGTCTTCCTCTAAGGCAATAGGAGACAAATACTGAACTCAGTTATTCTCTTAGTACTTGAGAGTCCTGTAGAAGATGTAGTTTTGGTTGTTTCACTGTCTTACTTTGCATTTTTTTCCTTATGGCTAGCATTATGAAACGTTGGGGGAAGATACGGTTGCAGGAGTTTGCATTTATTCACTTAATTCAGTTCTCACCAAAAGTACAACGTTTGCCTCAAAAGGATTATGCTGTTGGAGGTGATTATGCATCTATACATATGCACATACAAACCTATATAGTTGTGGAATAACACAAGATGACACATGATAAAATAGCAATGGTTGATAATATGAGTTAGCACAATATGTGGCAGAAATCAGCCCTAACTCTCTCTCAGAAAAAAAAAAAAATGAGGTGCTATCTGTTCCTAGAAAGATAAATTTCAGACAGGGAGATAATTCTAAGAAGGACATTCTAGTCATTCATTTCTTTCGCTCGTCATCTCATTCTCATTCAGTTCATTAGTTCACTCAGAAGCATTCGCTGACCGTATTAGGCAATGTGTTAGGAGTCAGTGACGTAAATAAGGCATTTCAAGAGGTTTGGGGAGCTCAGGAAAAATGTCATCAGCAAATATGGAGAAGTAAAAACACCCAGGCAAGTTTGTGGAGGAAAGAACAGCTTGACTAGAGAGTCTGTGTGTGGTTGTTTCAGGGACATAGTTGGTAAGGCAGGTTGGAGGCAGATTTCTGCAAGATTTTGAATGTCAGCGTAAAAGTTTGATTTAATTTAACCTGATCACTTGCAATCCAGTGATTTATAATCTCTCCATATTCCTCCCTCTGGGAATTTTCTTTAAGGTTGGAGAGGGGGTGTGGATGGCTGGAGGGGTTATATTCTGTGTATTGGAGAGAGGGGACCTTTGGTGCTTGATCAAGTTCTGGCCTCTGCTGACATCTACTGACATGTATTTCTCATCAGCTTTTGAGACATTACCCTTTCTCTGATTTTCACTGCTGAAATCTCCTACTATAAAATCTGGCTCACATGATCTGTGTAATGTTAGCTAACAGCATGGCTTTTCCTTTCTGTATATCCCTCTGGTCTACTGGCCCTTATTCAGGTACTTCTCCATCTGTCTCAATGGCACAGAACAATTTTCAATTTTGTCCCATAACCCTAGAACTGCAGGAGCCTTCCTTAGGAGGTTGGGCTACATCAGGTGCCCTTGGCCTGGATGCAGTAACACCATGTCCCCCACTCCCTACCTCACTTCCTTATCTGCCCTTTAGACACCCAGGGGTTCTCAGAGCGGCTTGCCGTCTTCCCCAGGAAGCTGAAAATGAGTACCAGTTTCTCTGGGATTCCCTAATCAATCTGTAGCTCATCACAGGGAGGGATGGAGAGTGATGCTTCGCTTCTCCAAAACCCTTACAGGTCATATTCTATACAGCTCTTCTCTTTGCTTCTCCAAAGCTCCTCCTCTTTAGATGCATGGAAATGGACTCATAGGCCATGGTTTATTCTTTCCTATACTGTTTATGATCAAAAGTTATGTTCTTAAGTCCTTTAGGCTCTTAGCATTTAGAAACTGAACCAAACAAAACAACTCAAAGTGCTCTTTTCTATTTCAAAATATCCAACTATTGCAGTAAAAATGTTGACTTTCAAGCTATTATTTATTCTATATGTTTTAAAAATTATTTAGTAATTTAAATGTGAAGCATTGACTTTTCTTTCTTCTGTGCATCCTTGCTAACAGACTTAATACTCTCTAAAGTAATTGATGAGATGCAGGGTTGTGAACTGATTTGTTAGGGATCAAGTGCTGTCAAGAGCGGGGATCCCTGGCTACTAGTGGAAAATACTGTTCTCTGGCCTGTAGAAAAATACGGCTCTTAGGGGCACCCCAGCAGATGGGCATAGGATGTTCCCAAAGAAGTTGAGAGGGGAACAGGTTTATGGGCTGGGCATATGTCCCAAGAATTTCCACTATATCTCCCCCAAATTTGGAAACAAATACTATTTCACAAATTCATTTTTTCAATTTGTATTTTAAAAAGAAACGTCTATGTTGCATATTAATAGTCTATTCATTAGTTCCCTTATCTCAGTTACCTAGAAAGTTTGAAAAACATTTACAAATGCTTGTCTTTAAACTGTATCAGAATTACTTAGAATTATGAAAACTCATCTCTCACTGGACTCCATGCTCAGAGATTATGATTCAATAGATGTGAGATGGAGCCCATGAGACTGGACTTTTTAATACATCCCTGACCTCAAACTTCTGCATCTAAATTCATGAGAGAAAGTGGCCTGTAATTGTCCTTTCTCTGACAGCTTTGTCAGGTATCA